CCGAACAAAACCCAAGACTCATAAACACGGTCGAGAAATGTTTGGTTGTAGATAAGTACTAATATTCGGCACACATGATTTTCAGCCGATATTTAACGCTCACACTCAGCGTTCCACTCTTCACTTTTCCAATAAAAATGAAATGTAACCACCAACCTCATTGATCACGCAGTCGTCAAATCATTCGACCACCACACCCTCACCACACTCCGTTGATAAACTTAGTAAAGCTAACCATCAAACCTATTTCCCTGCTGCACCGATCCACCCACTTGCATACACACACAAAGAGGGAGAGATAATCCTGATCATATTCCGTTTAGAACTCCACTGAGCTTTGTCTATTGCTATTTTCCGTCTCTGTGCGTCTCATGTGATTTGGATGAATTTTGGCCTCGGCCCCTCTTACAGAACTTACCGTAATTTGGTTGTACATATTGCACCTATGTTCGGTTGTCTTGTTGCTTTGAATCCAAAGATTTATCAGTTCCCGTAAGTGTGTGTGTGGTTCGTTAACTATTCCAAGAGTAACTATTTCTCACAAGCACACAAACTGCAGCACACACAAACCAGAATGCACTTACTTCCTTTATACACTAACAGTTAATGAGATAAACGTGAAATACAGAGATGCATGTGATTCGAATAAAGTGACTGCTTGATATTATTTATGTGACGCCAAAAGTACTTTCAGTCGTGCAGCGGGCACTTCACTCGCTTAGTTATATTGAATCATCAGAGTACTCAAAGGAAGTGTGAACGACACTGTCAATTACAGAGTTGCTGAATCGATTGATAGAACAACTCCTTCAGTTTATTTTAGATGCCTACATCACACCTATTTGGTTTGAGGCAATATAAAGACACCAAATATATTTCCGATGATATGCAACGTATTTTGCATGAATTTAAACTTTTCGATCAGTTGTGTTAGATATTACATACGCTGCAATCAGGTGATCTTTCTTTCAAGGAAACAGATCAGTTCCAACCCGTTTTGTAATTTTTTTTCCACAAATGAAGACACATAAAATTACCTTCGGTGGTCGACAGGATGACTTATTGAGGACCTTGGACACATCGACAAAGGCAATAAATGTTTGTCAAAAGATGCTCAACTGACTGCGAGCTTCACCGTTTCGCAGCACTGTAAAGAAATGCAGACTACCTTACAGTCAAAACCCATTTTCTCCATTCCCATTGACATTTGTTTGTTTGCCGTTGTAAAGCAATGAGAAATTAATCATTTGCGAAACCCAAGGATGAAATATAATATACTTGAGTACAGTGATATATTTTTCATTTTCAATTAACTTATTAACATACTCAAGAACAGTACTTTGCCGTCTCTCCAAACTACCAGATTCCTGACGGATAAGTGCAAACAGTAAGGATGTGGAAAGGAGACTGATCAACGAAAGCTTGTTCAGCACAATAACTACATACACCCGAGAAAATCCTGCATTTATTTGCTTAGAAATGGGACTTCAAGATTCCGAAGTATGTTCACTATTTTCAGGGTTTATCAGCTGCAGCTCAACCGTGAGCGTTCATTGCACATCAAAACCAAGTACAATATACCTGTTCTACCTTTCGCATAGATACGCAAGTGTTGAAAATTACACTTTGAAGTTCATCGGAGCATTATCTGTTATTGCTCCGTGGTTGATCTTGGTATTATTTCTGGAAAGACCTGATCACATTAATGATATATAATGTGAAAACGGCTTGGAGCAATATTATTATTATCAAAAAACGTTGGAACATTATGTGAAATAGAACATTTGATGATCATTACACTTCAGCCTGTTTGTAACATTTTCATTGAACCTTCGCGACTGTTGCATTATTGATATATCGGAAAAACTAATTGCAGTTTAGAAAAGATAGCATCTGAGAGTCTTAGAGTGTGCAAGCAAGAATGTAAGTAGGAGGGGAGAGCAGACTCACGAATTGGGTTGCTTAAACGAAACGGAACGGTCAAAAAAGCTGTGTTTCAACAGCCTGTACTTTAATGCTCCCTGTTTGTTTCCCGCTAATGTCACACTACCGTGTCGTGCACAAACTATCAAAGTCTATTGTTACCGATAGTGCACACATATTCTTAACAGGGATAACACATGGGTTGTTCTTTGGGGGGGAGGAGAGGCAATGCAAGCACAATGTATTAATATCGAACACTTGTGATACCGCAGGTGATACATGTACTGGGAAAATGGTTAAACAACCACCCGTTCGATGTGCATGCCACAGATCAATTCGTCATAGCATAACCTTCATCTGCGTAATGACTGAAGCATCAATTTGCATAGGAGGCGCCAACAGAATTCGACACAATAGTAGGACGTATTGCTCAACATCCGGGCGGTAATTGTCACCAATCATGTGGATCGAGAATTCGTGCTCAGATGGTTCTCATGTCTGAACCCTCATGGTTTCACTTGTCGAACCGGAATACACTGATGAGTCTTGCACAGTTTCCTCTCCAGTAACTTGAATGGTTGTCCATCCCCAAAGTTTTTAAAGTCACGAACTCAAAATAAAAACACCAATGGCTTGAATGAATCTCAACGAGAACGGTTTTGACATTCGATGTGATTTCACGGCACAAGGAGTAGCTTGTTTGAAAAGTATGAACGTTCTCCCAATGAAAGATTCTTCGGCAAGATAACTTGAAACGGCCCGAGGTGATCCATTTGCAACATCGCCTTTTGTAGGTCACTCAATCAAATGTTATAGTCTTATATTTTGAGAAAATAGAATAAAATGAAGGGCCTAAATATGCTACAGATTTACACAATAGGTATGGTAAAAAACCGCATTATTTTGGAGCAAATACGTTTGAATACGTGATACTGATTCATTTAGACAATCCGTGCTCAAGTTCCTTTTGTAAGCCTTTCTGACAAAAAATTAAGGCTCTCGTTTGCTCTTCGGTCTTTAAAATTCATTTGGAACAAACACCATCCATCCGGCTGATTTTTCACTGACTTTACGGTGCGCACAATCCTTAGTTGGAGACTGTTCCTAAGAAGTGGTTCAGAACATTGGTGCCAAATATAAGGCTAAGATTTTATCTACCCGAATGAATTGCGCAGATCATTTTGAAAGCGAGATTGTATTGCAGTGATAAACATGAGGTATTCCCTCCCGTTCATCAAAATGGAATAGGCTGCCAAACTACACGGGCAATGAGTGCGTCGAACGCTCAACGTGGATTTTCCGGATTTCGTCTAAATTGACCACTGTGTTCCTACCGAGGAAGAAACCTATGGTTGTGTTCATTCTCACCAATAATGCGTAGATGTCAGTTATAAGATTTGATCTTTCAATCCCTTATTGTTGAGAAACTCAGTAGTGTTTGGTTCACAGGACTGTCAAAATGCATTTTTTGTTCTGAACATCGTGATCACTTGCCTTCTCACTCACGTATGCGATAACAACAAAAGCCGTTTTGTTCAAATGGTGTAAAAACGAGCGCATCACTTCATTCAAAGTTAGTACAGTTTAAAACTAATGACTATAATTTAAATGAGCAAGAAATATAAAATGGAAAAAGAGAACAATAAGGCAGGAGGGTATTATCAGTGTACAATAAAGTAACAGCATGAGGAATCAAAATAAATCAACTGAAAGGCTGAAAGGGTGGCTATATTGTTTTCATCAACAGCGAGCGAAATGGGGATTAAAAAGCGAACTTAAATGAGTGTTTTTTGCCACTTATTGATATCCTGAGCAAGAATATATGCTTATAACGAGCTCACAAATTGGGCATTGACCTTCATCGTGTACAAACAAAGTAAAACTGTTTCGATCACCTGTCCGGTATTCAATCTGCTATCGTGCTGGCGTTTTACCTGTGAGCTCCCGAGTTTGGTCCTTAGGTGGATGCATGGATTTGTGCTGTTTTTGAAACCAGGCAAGGTTGAACATTGTCAAATTCTTTACCATCATGCTGGGCATGCTTGTCTTCAAAAAGGTTTGTTAATGAAATATCGAGAGGCAGTCAACCAGAGTGCTTATTTTTGTGTCTGTTGTAGTTGTGGTTAAGATTCCTTTTCATTTAGAATTTTAATAATGCTTCTGAATTAAAAACTGTTCACGAAGGCCATAAAGTAAAGAAGTCCAGTTCAAGATTCACCTCCACTAACCAAATAATTGTCTAGCAACTCTTTTGAAAACCACAATAAACCGTATCTTGTAGGCCTACAGGTGCCGAAAGCTGCTCAGTAATTGCAAATCTATATTCCTCTGAGAACTCCTGCATGCAAGTAAGTGTTCAGTGAAGAAAAAAAGATGTTTGGAGTAGGTGATGCATCCACTCATAGGTGTATCGTTGCATTATTGCGTCTATAACTAACCGGTTTTCAGCTCAACAGTTACTCAGGGTTTTTTCTGATGTGCATTTGACACGTATCCCATTGCGTGTGAGACACGTTTGCATAAGTAACTCCACAAAAGCATTTCCCATCAGGTGCATTAAGGTGACTGAGCACACATCTGGCCGGGTGGAGTGTCACAATCTGGCAAATTCGGAGAGAGTACTAGAATAGGTGAATTTTTCTGTTGAAGTTTTCCGTTTTTTCTGAAAACAATAATGTATCAGTTTTGATTGTATGAGATACCTTCTGAAACAAACATCAGCTAATAACCACGAAGATGAGGGTATAAATTTGGTTTATTGTGATGGATATCTGCAACTAAATTACAAATCGATACACTCATTCATCATCGAGCACAGAAATCATCATCTTGTAATTCCTTATTCAACCCATATGTGCTGAATAGAGATGAGTAGTATATAATAGAAAAATGGGGATATACATGTAATGGAGGAAACTGGTGAGAGGAA